TTATAGAGGGGAAAACCAGACGACTAACTACTGATGAAGACAAGAATGATGATGAGCCTGAACTCAAACGAGCAAGGTATTATTTGCTCAGATATTATTGTGATTTGACTTTCTCTTCTAGCTATGATGAAAGCTCCATGCTTTTGAGGAAGAAATCAAGCGAAAAAGTTTTGAAATGACAAAGTTACTGCTACTCATCCTTTGAAAAATCATTTGTTGTGCTGCATGAGCAAGCAGTTGCTCAGACTAGAACAATTAATGTTAAATTGTCCCCCATTTTTGTAAGGCAACTGCTAAATAGAGGGCAGCTTAATGAAGTTATCAGGGTTACTCTACTTATAATTTCATTGTGTTTTAGAACTGACAGTACAGAAGAAGAACCAATGGCWGTAGACACTATTCCTATAGTTGTAGAAGAAAAGCCAGCTGCAAAGGAYCCACCAGCAAAACCCAAACAAGCCCCAGTGCAGGACAAAGCACAGGCAGCCCAACAACGACAGATGCTACCATTAGAAGAACGAATGAAACAGTTCCGTGAAATGATGCTGGAGCGAGGAGTCTCTGCTTTTTCAACATGGGAAAAAGAGCTTCCAAAAATTGTCTTTGATCCAAGGTTTTTGCTTTTGACGCAACGWGAAAGAAAGCAGTGTTTTGAAAAGTTTGTTAGAACAAGAGCTGAGGAAGAAAGGCAGGAAAGGAAAAATAAGCTTAAGGAGAATAAAGAGWCCTTTAAAGAGCTCCTTAAGAATGCCAAAGTGACAACAAAGTATGCCTCTATTTCATATGTTTTACTTCACAAATACTGCTTGTACTGCGTGTAAATCAGGCTTAATTGATATTAATAGTCACATTTGCAGTTCCCTGTGCCATCTTGATAGGTATCAAAGTGAGGCGACCATTGAGCATGCATTGATAGATTAGATACCTACAAATAATTGTCTGTTACTATGCATGCCCAACAGTTGTCTTACTTCGATGCAAAGACATGGCTACTTTTCAAGATGGCCAGGAAACAGTGAAGGAGACTATTGACATAATGATAATTCATGAGATAAATACAACTAAAATTGATTTTGGACAACAAAATTAAGATACAATATTATTTTGTTAAAGAGTTGACAGATCCTTAATACAATTTCATAACACATTAAGATTAAAGATAAATGTGGATTACCAAAAGTAGCAATAATTTAATATGTAAAAAACCTTTTTTCTGCTCAGGACAACCTTTAGTGAGTTTGCAGCAAAGAATGGCAAGAACGAGGCATTCAAGACCATAGAGAAGATGAAAGACAGAGAAGCACTGTTCAGTGAATACATAYCAGAACTCAAGAAGAAAGACAAAGAGTCCACTAAAACAAGGCATGATAAGGTAGGGTGTGTTGTTGGGGTTCGGTGTACCACGGGCGGAGTATCAGGTACAGTCGTGGGGATCTTCATGGCTGAAAAGCTAGACTTTATTTTGACATGTAGAATGAACTAAAGATCAATATAACTGCATCAAAGTAAAAAGAAATTTCTTGTATAGGAAAGCCATTTGTTTCTACATGTACAGTGCTGGTAGTACATGTAGATATGCCATGAAGGTCCCMTAAAGAGTTTCATGTGTTAAATACCTGTAAATGACTGTACTGATTAGAGCTYKWTTCTCCTTACCTTACCRATACTAATGATAATGCTATTTTWAGCTACAAATATAYAGATTATAGGAGGCAAACATTTGAYAGAGTTTAGCTTTTGATCAGTGTCATTTACAGTGTGTTTTGCATGGACTTAGGAATAGATTATCACTAAAATGTTTACTGTGTATTCAAACTACAACTCTCACTAGTGGTTGATTCATATTGTGATAAGCGTTTATCCTTCTTTTCTCTTTTTGCTGTGATTGTTGTATAAAGTTAACCATATATCTCTAATACTGTACAACACAGCAAACAGTTGACAAGCTAGCCAGCCGCTGGCCATTAGTTGCGATTCCAAAATTGCTTTTTCATCATTGTGTGAATATTGTGATCCAACCATAGAAGGTAAATAACTCACTTATCTAGCTGTAAATTACTCCGTAGAGGTCAATAACAGCCAAGCTCCACCTAAAGTGGAGACCTTTTTTAATTATCAGATTCCTATTTCAGGTTCTCACTCTAATGTTACTGGCATTTATTTTTGGATATTTTTCCAAGAATGTTCCTTCTCCATTTATTTCTGTTCACTTGCAATTCAAATTTTATATGCTTTTATAATCAGATTCCTATTTCAGGTTCTCACTCTAATGTTACTGGCATTTATTTTTGGATATTTTTCCAAGAATGTTCCTTCTCCATTTATTTCTGTTCACTTGCAATTCAAATTTTATATGCTTTTATACACATCTATATATTTTGAACAGAATCTCTTTTGAAGATCCATGGTTTTCAATGAATAATGTATGACCTTAATTTGAAGTCTTCATTCCTTCCTTCCCTCTCTCTATGTTCAGAAAAAAGAGATATCAGTTGTAAGAGTGGATATATAGCATTCATCATGATCAGTTGTCTTCAATATTTATRAGTCTCCGTAAGATATTATTCCACTGTAAACTATTAGTACCTTTTTCCTGTATGCTATTACGGTTTTCAACTTACAACCCACTCACTCAGATCATAAATAGTTTTGCTTATTTGTTTTGTATTTAGCTTGCTGCATCAGGTAATTGATATACTRTGGTTGACTTGACTCCTTTGTAAAACGTTTTAGTAAAATATAAATGACTTTTTGTGGAGCATCAAATGGAGTTTATTGGACAAATMAAGTCATAGTTATAGTTCTGAAAACACATACTCCAGTTAAATTTGCAGAGTTTATAAAGTAAACAGAAAAGTTTTCCTTAGGAAAGAATAATATGATTTCTAATGGAGTGCAAAACTCTGAGAAAAAAATATTTCGGACCTAAACTGTTCCTACCAAAATTATATAATTATTAAAATCTTCAAACTTGAATCTATCCTTCTATACATAGCAATTCTTAGTTAAAACTAAGTTTTGAGAATAGGTTTTGAGCTTATTAAAGTAATTTTCAAAGCATTAATTCCTATGGTTTTTATTGTTTTTTTTATGATTGTTTAGCTTTACAGTGACTTCATTGAGCTTCTTGAGGAACATCATGTAGAAGTTAAATCCAAYTGGCACAGAACCAAGGCTAAGATAGATGAAGATCCAAGATACAAAGCTATTGAAAGTGTCAACACCAAAGAGGAATACTTTAGAGAATATGTGGCACAGTTAGAAAAGGTAGTTTGTCTTTCAGTTGTCCTTTTATTTATTGACCTAAATGTTTTGGTTTGTAGATAGCTTTAATTCTTTAATCATTTGACTATTTTCTTCTGACTTTATCATCTTTTTGTCTTTCCTCTACTTCTCCAAATCCATCTCTTTTTTCCCTGTATTTTCATTTTTTTTCTCCAATTTCACTTCCATGTTTTCTTTTGTTTGCATTTCCCACTCCTTGTCATACTTGTACATTTGTCCCACCAAATGGACCTACTATATTTTTCTGACTTCCATTCTTTATTCTCTCTATGCAAATTACTCCTGTCCCATTTATTTTCAATTTGACAGTTTTTATGAAAATATTTATTTCATTAGAAAGAGAATGCTGAGAAAGAAAAAGAAAGAGAAAAGCAAGAAAGAATGGAAGCTAGCATACAGAAGCGTGAACGAGAAGTTAGAGCTTCCCAAGCTGAGCTTGCTAAAGCTAGAGAGAAAGAAAAAGAAATCCACCTCAAAGAAAAAGCTATACAGCARTTCCATGCTTTGCTAACTGACATGGTAGGTTTGTACTGTGTGATTRATTTGTATATATTATATTTCAACTAAAAAATACCTGCAATGTCTAGCCATAGACAACCTAACAACAACCTAACAAGACTCATAGCATTTGTAAAAATCTGAAAGTCAGACAGACAGACACAAAATTCTAACATAAGATATTTATATAATTAACAATCTTATAAATATAGGTTCGTAAACCTGATGCATCCTGGAAAGAAACCAAGCGTGCACTTAGAAAAGACCACAGYTGGTCAATGGCAGATCCACTMGACAAAAAAGAAAAAGAAAAACTATTTACTGATCACATAGCTAAGTTAAATAACAGAAAAAAAGAACAGTTTAGAAAACTATTGGATGAAACAACTGAGGTGAGTTTGTTGTGTTTGTGTCTTACATATTGTTTCATGGATATACACAATGTAATGGATCCATTTTTGTTCTTAAATTCAATTTTGTTTATTGATACTGTCAAATTGAAAGCTTATGCTTCTAAGATCCTTTTAATGTCTCTCGGATCATTTCAAGTGTTATTTATGAAGAGACTTCATGAAACGTTTCTTGCATTGTGCTTACCAACGTCTTTCTTTCTCATAGTTAACTTTAGGATCATCYTACAAAAGTATTAAAAAGATAGTAAGGGATGATCCAAGATTTTCCAAATTCTCCTCAAGTGATAGGGTAAGATCACCAATTAATTTAGTCTTTATTGATTACCTTCTATGTCCTGCTATTTGACTGTGTTTGAGCTAATGAGAGAGCCAGTGATCTCATTGGACTTTGAGTTACATTTCCTTTCAATTTCAAAATATGGTAACACTTAATACCTTGTCTWCTTGGGAGGGATYTTAGCRACAGGYCGAATGTAAAATGGAACTGTGCCATTACACATTGTTAACAGTAGARGCRAAATTCCTGTTGTAAATCTTGCAATCATAATGGCAGTGACAGTGATAAATGGGACTTGATTTAGAATTTTCTTGCACAGGAACCCAGCAAATTCATMGTTATATTTTCTTCTAGAAACGAGAAGCTGAGTTCACAGAGTATATTAATGATAAACTGTCAAGTGCCAAGGTGGACTTCAGACAGTTACTTAAAGAAACACATTTGATTACCCACAGGTAGATAAATAGTTCTAAAATGATGTTATTAATATAATGAGTTTGTTTCCATGATTATATTCATGAGTTGCTTTGTAGATTGTTAGAAAACTAATTCACAGATACTGTGAATGCAATCTACCACTAATATTCAAATTCATTGTTATCCACATCTTGTCATAGTGATATATAACGGTGTGTTGTATTTTATCATAGGTCAAGAGAACAAATAAGAGAATCCAAGAAACATCTAACAGATATAATCACTGTCTTAAAGGTAAAACTCTTGTGATTAGACAACCACTTTCTCCTCGATGTGGTTGATTTGCTATGTATAAGAATTTTAAGTAGGTATTAACTTTACCAATATTGCATGCTTCAACATCTTGTCTTTTCTTCTGGTTTTGTAAAACATTTGATCACTTTATATTATTGTTGGTCATTTCTTTTWGTACAAACAGTATTCATGCAAAATTGTGTGTTATTTTAAATTGGACAAAAAGGACTGAAAGTTCTGTCATTTTTCATGTTTATAGAATGACAGAAGATACCTTGTCCTAGACTGCATGGATGACGAAAGAGATAGATTACTAATGAACTACATTGAAGAGATTTATCGACGTGGTCCACCTCCTCCACCTACAGCGACGTTACCATCYAATTGGAGCAAATCCCACTAATTGCTGACATAATTGTTATCATTCATGTATAGTAAACTTGTTCAGAAAATATTTTCATCATTCAAAGTTGCAAACTTGCCTTAGAAACAAACAGTATAAAATCTTAGTAGACTTTTAAAATGTTTTAGAGATTCTACTCATTTTAGATTTAGTATTTCTTGAAAGTGAGCAATAGGACAGAAACAAGTTGTTTGCATCCTGTAGTTGAAGCTTTGTCTGGGGAAATTMTGATCTCCAGATAGAACTGGATAAGTAGYCTTTCACAAAGTCCCTTTGTGCCTCTGACATGCACTCTGCGCTCTCAAAAAAGTCTTACTTGTTGCAAGTCAAATCATTAAGCAATTATTCTCTATGTTTAATGAGAACTTTCATCAGACAGTCATTGTAATTTGCATGTAACTTAGCKCAATTTTTGTTGTTGTTTGGAGCATGCATCAAGATATTCTCCTTCGACACAAAAAACAGGATTTTGGAGACTAGCATCCAGACACTACTTTTTAAAATAAGATGCATCACATCATGAATGTTGAATAGTAATTCTTCCCATCTGTAAAAATAAGACTCTCAGGAAAGTTTGAATAAACTTTTTAATGCTTCTTTTCCTGTTAATAACAGCTGATTGCTAAGTGATATTGTAGGGATAATACATGTAATTCTTCGGCCGAACTCCCTTGGATCAGCTGGGAACACCGCTGGGCTACACAGGGTAAACACCTGGGGCTCATTTTATAAATGGGTTTAAACTCCATAGATTTTTTATGGAGTTTATCCATTGAATAACAATTTATCCAATAAAATGCACTATTTACCATTGGAACAACTAGCTATTGGTTACCAGTAAGTCATCCCTTCTTGGACAAAGTCATGGTTTTGAGAACAGCATTGTCTCTGCTGTGAATGGTATTTCTGGTGTTCTCATTATCTCAGTATCTGGGTTAATAATCCAAATGTTTASATAGATTTCAACAACAGGATTTGAGAAATGACAGGTTGTGCATYAAYAGRAAACAKTTTTTCAATYRTGTGGACTAAACMTAAGAAGAAATRTAAACATATTAAGAYCGTTGACAAACAAAATGAACTCCCAAGCCAAATAATGTTTACACAAAGTTTCAATGTTTCYCATTTTTTATTTTCTGTGAGTAAACTATGTTTTCCAATGACTCCATTACAATTATGTTAAGATATACCTGACAAGTTCGCACAACTATTGTGTAATACTTAAAAGTTTCAGCTACCATTCTGTATATTATTTGAAATTCTTAACTTGATTTTTTGTGTCCTCATAAGAACAATTTTCAGTTAAAAATTTAATTAAAAACTGATGGATATTGAAATAAAGTGGTTGTATTCTCTCCTTAGAAATAATTTAGAAAATGAATACATACATAGAAATTTTTAACTTTTTTGGAAATTATATGAAGTGTAAAAACATCATTATTATTGAGTTATTTTATGACTTTTTAGCAAAAGATATTTGCTTTACCCACAGAAACTGTATTTTCTACTATGTACAATACTGCACAAATGCAATAGCCTAAAAGTTAAGTTTAAAGCGATCTCTATACTAAAATGACATCAATTTTTTGAAATACAACAAACAGCACATGTGCATGACATAAATATAATTTGCTTGTTTTCCAAGCTTAAATAGACAATTTCTAATATACTTTCCTCTATATATCTTAGGTGCATTGATACCGACTTTGTATCCATCAGTGGAATATATATAATATACATTAAGACAAGTAACTTTCTTATAATAATATTATAGAAATGAATGGATAACATTAACCCAAAAAAATGTAAAGTTTTTCCACTAAAAAATATTGCTACCAGTATTTAAGTTTATCTAGGTCACTAATTGCATTTCCCCATTAGAAAGAACAATGATGCTTRTAAAATTATACTATATGTAAATTGAGCATTCAAAATTGCAGAATTTATTTCACAATGGCCCACAATGAGTAGTGAATGAAATTTCTCATAACCAAAATAATTCCTGGTATTTACTTTGTTCTTGTATGCATTTAAACTCAGTTATCAAATTGATTAACTTCTATGACATTTATACAAACAAGATTAAGCAAACAATGATACCACCTGRACTACRATGAACTAAAGAGAYAAAAAGYAAAATYRYKAWWTTTMWYAAAAYG